TAGTGCGACAGCACTGTCGCGACAGCATGATAGCTACTATCGGGTTGTTTACATGGTGATAGTTTGTGCGATAGTTACTATCACGACAGCAACTATCGCAAAAACTATCACCGTGAAAACGACCCTTAAGGTACTGTGAGGTACTGTCAGTATAAGGTCTAGTAATGTAAGGTATTTGTGTATAACTGCATGTAATGTCATGGTATTGTCCACGTATTGTCAGTATTGTTAAGGTCGAAGTTAATAGTTAAGGGAGACGACCGCATTTTTCCTACCCCGATCGAGTTATGTGTCGACACTATCATCAATATATAGTATTGTGTGCATCTATTAACCCAGTATTCCTGCCTGAGAGCAAATGCTGCCGGAAATATATATTTTAACAAATTATTAACAAATTGAAAAAAACGTAACACTACCCCCATCGAGTTATGCCCTAAGTACGGTATCAGATTGAAGGTCTCGATGTCCCCTATCTAAAAAGTCGATCCTGCCTCGTGAGAACTTGCCGGAAATGGGTGGCAGGGCAGCTTATTGGGGCAAGGGCCCGCGGTCTCAGCTCTGACACCTATCAAGTTTTACCCTGAATGATGTGTCAAATTAAAGTTGTTAATAAGTTGACTTAAGGTCTCTCGCACAGAAATCCCAAACCAGAAAGAGTAAATTTCATTGGTTGAAACTACCCCAGTAGCACACAATGTTGGTCCCATGTTGCGGATACATTGGACCAATATTGTATGTTGGCCCAATATTGGCATTTTTTAGCCAACATTGGACATTTATTGGCAATACAACTTCTTTCATCATTTTAATAATATATTTATCCAAGAATGGGCCAATATGCACAAACAATATTTTTATCGGTAGCATATATATAGCCAAGATTGGTTACATATTGGCAATACAATTTTTTCTTATATAACAGTGATATATTGATCCATCATTGAACCTATAAGCACAAAAAAAATGTTTGTTTTTTGCATTATTGAGCCAATATTGGCAAAACATATTTTTCCACATTGTAATATTATATTTACATAAGAATGGGCTAATATACACATAAATATCTTTATTGGCATTATTTAGGCAAAATTGGTTGATTATTGGCAATACAACTTTTTCTAATGTTACCATAGTATTGTATCCATTAATGGACCAATATGCACAGATAATGTTTCTATTTGCATTATTAAGCCAATATTGGATATATAATGGCAAAACAATTTTTTTCTAATAAAACAGCGATATATTTATCCATATTAGCCAAATATTGATTCTATATTGGTCAAATGTTGTAAATGGGTCCAACATTGGCAATTTGTAACCAATATTGGTAATATATTGGAGATTAACCTTTTTCCTACATTATTATTATATAATATGTGATTCCAAGATTGATCCAATATTGGATCCGATCCATGTTTGGCAATATCTTTTATTCATGTTTATATTTAATATTTATCCAATATTGGTGATATATAGGAGATGTACCCTTTCCATATCAATCAGGACTACCGAGAGAGGGCACCACGCGCTACTGATGGCCTTGCTCTTCCCTAGTGTTTCGAGTTTCCTCCAAAACTGTTTCTTTGAGTTGGTGTGCTTCGCTAACAAGCTCGAAACCGGAAACCGGTCTAGTCTGCAGGTGTTGGAGCTTTGGTTAAATACATGTGTTTTTCCAAAAAAATATTGTGAATATTTCTAGGAAAAATTGTATTGAGAAATATTTCATATTTATTAATTGGTAATATTGGAGAAATATTTACATTCAATATCGGATTCATATAAAAAGTATACATTGTGCCAATCTGAAAAACAGATATTGGGTATAATTCTAAAAGCAATATTACATGTTTATTGATTAGCAATATTGGGACAATATTTTTCTTCAATATTGGATTCATATTCACAATATATATTGGGCCATTAAAAAAAAATCTGTCGTTTCCATTCTTGGGCCAATATGTAAATATAATATTTTACCAATATTGTTGTGCTACTGGGGTAGTTTCCTGACTGTTTCCAACCAATGAAATTCGCTCTGACTGGTTTGTGATTTCTGTGCGAACAGACCTTAAATCAACTTATTGACACCTTTAATTTGACACATCATTTAGTGCAAAGCTTGATAGGTGTCAAAGCAGAGACCGCGGGCCCTTGCCCCAATAAAGCCGTCCTGCCACCGTTTTCCGGCAAGTTCTCAAGAGGCAGGATCGACTTTTTGGATAGGGGACATCGAGACCTTCAATCTAATACCCTACTTAGGGCATAACTCGATGGGGGTAGTGTTACGTTTTTTTTCAATTTGTTAAATAATTTGTTAAAAGATATTTCCGGCAGCATTTGCTCTCAGGCAAGAATAATACAGGTTAATAGATGCACATAATACTATATATTGATAATAGTGTCGACACATAACTCGATCGGGGTAGGAAAAATGCGGCCGTCTCCCAGACTATAAGGTATTGTCTTGGACTGTGAATAATTTTTAGTTGAGTTTTTAGTATCTACTATCATGTAAAATCTTTAAGTATTTGCTGCATTTTTATTAATTGAATGTTTTTATAACTGAAGTTCATAGAATGAATCTGAAACTGAGTCTTTTTTTTTTAAAGAGGATAGATATAATATAATATCTAACGAAAATAAATTATTCAACAAAGTATTACCTACTTATAATAAAAAATAAAATGCAAAGTAAATGCTGAACCCTTCAATTTATTTGGATTTATTCTGGAGTAATATATTATATAAAAAGTGTACTATCAGAGGTATTGTGATGTGTACTGTGGAGTATTGCAACATGTACTGCGTAGTACTGCTATGGAATGTGAGCGTACTGTTAGGTATTGGCATGTAATGTAATGTATGTGCACTGTAAGGTATTGTGGGGTTCTTTGACGGTACTGTAATGTACTCTTAATGTATTGTGAGCCAATGACATTGTAAGCCATTTTGTACAGGTATTGTGAAGAGTGGAGCACCCCTCGACAAAATCTCAACAAAAAAATTTTTGAAATTTCATCGTTTTAGTAAGAAGGTACCTTATGATTTAGATTTTGGAAAACTTTAAAAGGGCATAACTTTTTTCCATTATAGATAGAAAGCTGAAATTTTCACTGAAATTTATCCCAATCAAGGGACTATAATCCCTGAAAATTTCAGCTCATTTGCAATTATAGTTCTTGAGATAAAATCGTGTTAAGCAAATTGGGATAATTTATCAATTTTTCAATTTTTCTGAGTGCTTTTTCTCATAGATTTCGGCTTCAAATCTGGGAATAATTTATTGTATGGAGTTTGGGATATGTTGATTGACCATTAGGATACAAAATCTCAACAAAAAAAAAAATGAAATTTCATCGTTTTAGTAAGAAGGTAGGTACCTACATGATTTAGATTTTGGAAAACTTTGAAAGATCATAACTTTTTTTCTATTATAGATAGAAAGATGAAACTTTCACTGAATTTTATCCCAATCAAGGGACTACAATCCCTGAAAATTTCAGTTCATTTGCACTTATAGTTCCTGAGATAAAATCGTGTTAAGCAAATTGGGGTGATTTATCAATGTGTTAAGATATCTCCTGCCAGTCTGGGGAACATGCAATCTAACTAACTTTAATAAAATAAAAATACTTCAAAATAAGGTCTTAAAAATATTATTTAACCTGGACTATCAAACACATACAGAAACGGTTTACACAATATTAGATATGACTCCTATAAGCGATATTCTACGTTTGGATCAGGCGAAACTAGTGTATAAAATTATTAATAAAAAACAAAAATGTAATACAAAAATCATGTACTCAAACGAATTTCATACATATAATATACGAAACCAAAACGATACATATTTAGCACCTATCAGAGCTAATATAGCTCTTCATAATCCACTAGTGATGAAGCTTCTCAGACATTTAATAACCTTCCATACGCCCTGAAAACTGAAAAATCTTTTTCCAAATTTATAAAAGATCTAAAAGCACATTTATGCTGAAGAAACCTTTTTACATACCCCAACAATTGCATGCCATAACTTGTTTGCATTGTGTTTCTGACTAGTTATAAGCATTTTCATTTTGATTTCATTTTAATTTTATTTAGCATAAGTTAATATAGGTATATGTACCTATATTATGTAATTAACATTTTGATCGCCCTTTAGTCATTTTATACATATATAGCTGTATGCAATATCCTCTTTTAGCTTAAAAGCGGTTTTTAAAACTGGTCACTTTTAAAAATGTGTATTCTAAGCAATACAAATTTTTAAAGGTACCAGTTTTAAAAAACGCTTTTAAGTTAAAAGAGGATGTTGCATATAGCTAGCTGATAGTATATTTAGCTCTCCGGGACCAATATTTGAAATATTGCTTAGGTGAGTGTACCCGATTTTTTATTTTAGCATTTAAGAATAATTATAAAATGTACCATATTTATAACATGCTTTAATAAAGGATTCTATTTTAAAAAAAAAAAAATAATCATTTTTTCTGAGTGACTTTTTTCATAGATATCGACTTCAAATCTGAGTTGCTGAAGCAAGTGAACGGTTTGAAAATTAGTCTACAGGAACAAGGCTTTATTTAATATTTAATTGATTATTTACTTCCGCATATTTAATTAAAATAAATTTAATTTAATTAAAATAGATGCCTCGCACTGGGGCTTTTTAAATTTTTAAAATTTGTTTAATTGGACATATGGACTTATGCGATTGGTCGATTTCCTGAACCATGTTGCCAAACTGCAACAACTTTACAATAAAATACCAAACTATCAAACCTTTTTAAATCCAAATAAATACGTAAGTATTCTGCAATCTGCAATTTCTACAAAACAATTTTTAGAAATTTCAAATGAGAAATAATCAAATTTTATTTTTGTATGCCATTTTAATTTATTTAAATATAAAATTTTGAATTATAATAGTTGGCGATTATTAAATTTGGCAACATCGCCTGCTGAGGACTGTCAACCAAACGTCACACTAATGTCAGTTTAGTCACTGGTTAAAAAAAAATTGAAAGCGGTGAGCGAAATTTTGTCAAATATTTTAAATTACAATAATTATTTCAGTAAAAGTGCTAAAAACTAATTGGAAGTGTTAAAACGCCGATGTAAGTATTGATTTGTACAATAAAAATCTTATTAATGTATTTTCGTAATTAATAAATCGATAAAATTTCATAAAACCTAAAAATGTGAGGTTATGTTATGTAGGTATGTGGAATTTTGGACTTGAAAATGCTTGTAAAATATTTTATTAATTATATGTTTAATAAAACCCCTTTTTCCATCCACGTACAGTTTTTCCCATTATTGTCCCTATCCTTGAATCATTAAGCACAGGGCTTCTAAACTTGCCTTTAATAATTAATGATTAATTGTTTCCAATGTAAAACCTTTTATCTTTATTCATTAGCAAACAAATTTTCAAGGAAATTATTATATTGTTATCATAAAAAATAATAATTGTCTGTTTATTATTGTACTACTAAGGAATTTGTAATTTAATACTAATTCAATTAGTGAAGGTTTTAATTCCATTGTAATTTTGCCTAAAATGATCTAATTTGGTAAAAATCTATATTGTATGTATTCATTTAAGGCCCCGTTTATTCATCTGATAACTGTCTACAAGATAAATTCACCAATCTGTAATCCTAGTGGTTGGTGCAAAAATGGCCTACCAATAGGATTATAGATTGCAATAATTATAATCCTAAAACTATTTTCGCGTTTTCTCTTTTCAGGGCCCAATAAGTAATTATTGAAAAGAACTGAGAAGCCTTAACAATGAAGACCAAAGGAAATTGTGCCCTTTTTATATTGGCAATAATTGCGGGCAATTTTGCTCAAGAAGTTGATGTAAGTAGACTTATGGCCGTTTCCACCAACTATTTTAGGGGAGCCCTAACAACAAAATGACATTTTTACATGGAGAAATGTCAGTTTAAGGCGTTCCTATCGTTAGGGCTTCCTTGAAATAGTTGGTGGAAATGGCCATTACAACCTGGAAATTAAAATTTCCAAATAATTTTAGAATTTGGCATACTTACCTACTTACTTAGGACAGGTTTATCAGTGCAAGGTTATCTAGTTTAGCTTTCAGTTATCTAATAATTATTGTATTGGTATAAGTTAACCAACAGCTAAACTAAATAACTGTGCTCTGATAAACTGGCCCTCAGTTGGATAAAGCAAGTGAAAATTGAAAAAGAAAAAGGACGTCATATTTTCTCAATTTATTGAATTTATCATAAACCATCTTCGAGGCAATTTGGGTTGATTTATCAATTTTTCAATTTTTCTGAGTGCCTTTTTTCATAGATTTCGGCTTCAAATCTGAAAATAATTTAGTTTATGGAGTTTAGGGGATGTTAATTGACCATTAGGATACAAAATCTCGACAAAAAAAAATTTGAAATTTCATCGTTTTAGTAAGAAAGTACCTACCTTATGATTTAGATTTTGGAAAACTTTGAAAGGTCATAACTTTTTTTCTTTTATAGATAGAAAGCTGAATCTTTCACTGAATTTTATCCCAAGCAAGGGACTACAATCCCTTTAAATTTCAGCTTATTTGCACCTATAGTTCCTGAGATAAAATCGTGTTAAGCATTTTGGGGTGATTTATCAATTTTTCAATTTTTCTGAGTGCCTTTTCTCGTAGATTTCGGCATAAAATCTGAGAAAAATTTAGTGTATAGAGTTTGGAGGATGTTGATTGACCATTAGGATATAAAATCTCGACAAAAAAATTTTGAAATTTCATCGTTTTTGTAAGAAGGTACCTACCGAGGGGCGGTTAACTGGTCAAGATCCGTGTACGAGTTGGTCAAAATCCCAGCAAATCCCATAAGATCTACTTACAATTCCTAAAAATCTTTAAATTCCTTAAAAATTTAACAAAATCCCACAAAATCTCTTGAAATTGCATGAAATCCTATAAAATCTCCCAAAAATCCCGCAAAATCTTAAAAAATCATTAACATTCCTAAAAAATATTTCCTATAACATTACCAAAAATCGTTTGGAATCCCCGAAAATCTGTTAAAATCTCTAAAAATCCTTTGGAATCTCCTCAGGAATCTAAAAACTTTTCAAAAATTCCTAAAATGCTCTAAAATCACCTAAAATCTTGAAAATCTAAAACCGTCTAAACTCCTGTAAAATCGTGTGAAGATTTTCAAAATCTTAGAAAATCAATAAATATTTAAAATATGTGTAGGTACATATTTTATGGGGTTAACTAAACCTCGGAACGGTTAATTGGTCAAGTCCTAAAAAAACTCGTAGGTACCTAAGATCCTCGCTAAGATCTACTTAAAATCCCTGAAAACCTCCAAAATCTTCAAAAATCTAACAAAATCCCTCAAAATCACTCGAAACCGCATAAATTCCTACAAAGTCTCATAAAATTTTATTAGAACAAAGAAAATCTGGCAAAATCTTATAAAACCATAGAGGGGTTTTTCACCTTGTTAATCGGTGTACAAATTAATATTTGTCAATACCGAGGTCAATAGTGTCAATACTATGCAATACTTGTTTTTATGTAGGTAATATGTGTCAATACTAACTTGAAAATATTGACCTGATAATAACATGTAAATACCTGTGGATATTATGTCAATACCTAAAATCCTGGCGAGACAAATATATGATTTTAGCTCGGATTTTAGTCTGTCAATAGTGAGGTCAATAGCATGGCCATACCTGGTAATATGTCATAATACATACTAGGGAAATACTTGGCATGGCAATATGTGGAAATATTTTGTTATCACATGGAAGAAGTTGGCAATAACTTGCATTACATAAAAATATCTGTTAATACATGGAAATATCAGTTTATACTGTTAATCATTGTACAAATTTTGTTAGGTGAAAAACCCGTCGAAAATCATTAATATTCTTTAGAAAAAATTATTTTAAAACTCCCAAAAATCCTCGCAAAAATCCTTTGGAATTCCCAAAAATCCGTTAAAGTTTCTAAAAATCCGCAAGGATCACTAAAAACCTCGCTAAAACCCTTCATAAATGCTCCAGAATCACCTAAAATCTTCTAAAATCCTGTAAAATCATGTAAAGATTTTCAAAATCCTCAAAATCATACAAAATCAATGAAGATTTAAAATCTGTGTACATATTTTGAAGAGTTAACCACCCCTCGGTACTTACCTTATGATTTACATTTTGGAAAACTTTGAAAGGTCATAACTTTTTTTCTATTATAGATAGAAAGCTGAAACTTTCACTGAATTTTATCCCAATCAAGGAACTACAATCCCTGAAAATTTCAGCTCATTTGGACTTATAGTTCCTGAGATAATAAAAATTGTGTACCTCTTAGTTAAGTTATAAAAAGTGACCCACCATATAGTTTTAGATAGTCTGATGAAGCTACAGTGTAGCAAAACACGTTACTGTTGTAAATAAATTAGTGAAAACTTACCTATTTTTTAATTTTATTAAATTTTTCATAGTTTTCTATCAAGACTTATTATGTTTGATAGTTATCATCTGGGATTTAATATCATTTCTCCATAAATTGAGAACCAGTTGGTATAAAATAAACAATATTTTCAGGATGAAGTAACAATAGAAACAATCGATGACACAGTCGCAGACTACGAAAGTCCAAAACCCTTGGACGCTTCAAAAGTCTACTTCGCCGACCACTTTGACGAATCCGCCAACTTTGAAAAGAACTGGATAAAATCCCAAGCCAAAAAAGACGGCATCGAAGAAGACATTGCCAAGTACGACGGCGTTTGGAGTCTGGAATCGGCCCAAAGAGACGCTCTCAGAGGGGATTTAGGTTTGGTATTGAAATCTAAAGCCAAGCATGCCGCTATTGCAGCCCCTCTTAGTAGGCCTTTTGTTTTCAAAGACAAACCTTTGATTGTGCAATATGAAGTTTTGCTGCAAGAAGGCCAAGAATGTGGCGGAGCCTATTTGAAACTCTTAAGCAATGTTGAGGATTTAAAACAATTCCAAGACAAAACGCCTTATAGCATCATGTTTGGGCCAGACAAGTGCGGCAACGATCACAAACTACATTTCATTTTCAAGCATAAGAATCCCAAAAACGGCACTGTAGAAGAAAAACATTGCGAAAGACCCAAAGAACGTCTAGAGGATTTCTTTTCTGACAAGCTCCCTCATTTATACACCCTAATCTTGAATCCAGACAACACCTTTGAGATTCAAATTGACCGAAAAACTATTAAAACTGGAAGTTTATTAGAAGATTTCACCCCCGCTGTAAACCCACCAGCTGAAATTGAAGACCCCGAAGACAAAAAACCTGAAGACTGGGACGAAAGAGAAAAAATCCCAGACCCCAACGCAGTCAAACCTGAAGACTGGGACGAAGACGCACCCGCTCAAATTGTAGACGAATCAGCCATTATACCAGATGGTTGGTTGGAACACGAACCAACTCACCTGCCAGACCCTGCAGCCCAAAAGCCCAGCGATTGGGATACTGAAATGGACGGCGACTGGGAACCACCTCTATTGGAGAATCCGGCTTGTGAAGCAGCACCTGGATGTGGTCCATGGGAACCTCCACTGGTTAATAATCCAGCTTTTAAAGGCAAATGGAGGGCTCCGCTTATTGATAATCCAAATTATAAAGGCAAATGGAGGCCTAGGAAGATTGCCAATCCGGATTATTTTGAAGATAAAACACCATTTAAAATGGCTTCTATTGTAAGTTGGTTTGATTGTGGATTTTTTTTTTTGGATTTTATATTGTTTTATTTGTAGTCTGCTGTTGGGTTTGAGCTATGGTCCATGTCAGAAAATATTCTTTTTGACAATTTGATTATTACCGAGGAAATTGCTGTTGCGGATCATTGGGCCAGTGCCACTTTTGATATCAAAAGGCAGAAGATTGCTAAAGTTTCGGTAAGTGAATTTTTTTTTTATTTTGAGTCAAATTTTTAAATTATTTTACATACATGAAATAGGTGTCTGCTTGGGGAAGATTCATGAAGGCTATCAACTACAACCCCAAAGGTTGGGGTTTGTATATTGTGTATTGTGCAACTCCGATTGTTGGTTATTTTTATTATCTTTATAAATGTGTCAAAGAGGTAAAGTGGCAATATTATTTTGACGGTATTGCTTGGTTAGTTTTGTATTTAGAAAGGCCTCTGTAATTTATTATCAAATGTCAGTTTTTTAATTTTTCTGACATATTTTTTGGTCAATATTCCCATTGAAATTTGAACAAATCAAAATAAATTATACATTATTGGAAAGAGCATTAAATTCTCTATAAATATGTGCTAGATTGAGTTTTATAGCTCAAATACTTTTTGATTAATTGAGCCTCGAACAAGACTTTTAGTCGAAATTTAATCAAAAACTTCTAACTAATTTTTCTCACAAACTATAAACCTGGGAATATTTTCCAATACAGGTTTTAAAGAGCTTAATAGGAGCTACAATTCCTGGAAATCTTGATTCAATATCTCTCACGGATTTCAAGATTTTGAAGCTTAAAGATTAACAGCTGTATGCAAAATCCTCTTTTAACTTAGAGGCGCTTTTTAAAACTGGTACCTTTAAAAAATTGTATGGCTTTAGAATACACATTTTTAGAAGTGACCAGTTTTAAAAAGCGCTTTTAAGTTAAAAGAGGATGTTGCATACAGCTGTTAGATTTTGGAAAACTTTAAGCAATTTGGGGTGATTTATCAATTTTTCAATTTTTCTGAGTGCCATAGATTTTGGCTTCAAATCTGAGAATAATTTTGTGTATGGAGTTTGGGGGATGTTGATTGACCATTAGGATACAAAATCTCGAATATTCAAGCCTAAATTATCGAAAATCCAATTTTTATTTCCAGGAAAGTCTCATCCAAACCCTAGCCAACTACACAAACGACTACCCAATTTTATGGGCAGTCTATATTTTGGTGCTAGGCATCCCAGTAGCTTTTATTTTGTACCTTTGCTGTAGGCCTTCCGCTAGTCAATCGCAGGTAATTGCTAGAAATTAAAGCCTAGTAACGCTTAAATTTCATAATAATTATCAATTTAGGAAGCCGAAGAGCTTGCACAGGCAGCCGAAAGAAAGAAGACTGATGCAGAGACTGAGGAGGATACTAAAGAAGAGGAAGATATTAAACAAGAAACTGAATCAAAACAAGATGAGCCAGAAGATTCTGCAAAGGAGGATGAAGAAGATGCTGAGAAAAACTCAAATCCTGATTCTGATGAGGATAATGAGGCTACTTTGATTGGTGGTGATAATAATGTAAGTAGATTTTTTTGGTTTTGTAAACTAGAACTAATTGTTTTGTTGTTAGGAAAAGAAGCCTCGACAACGGAAAGTCCGAAAAGATTGAAGAATAGTATTTTTAAATTTCGTAAGTTAGTATAAGGTTTGTTTGAAAAAATATCTTACCATTATCATTGATTGATAACTGTAAATTTGGTGTATTGCGTTTTACAGAATAATAATCGTTTGTCTGAAGTTAGCTCTAGTCTTCATTTTAAATTATTCAGTTTTCATACTGCTGTTTCTGTTTACGTAACAGAATATTGTATTAATGTTTTTGTCTATTATTTATTGAAATCTTGTAACATTTCAAGAAGCAATTATTGTCTTCTTATGATATTTTGAAACACATTATAGGTTTTTGTTTGTTAATAAAAAATTTCAACAAAATAATTGTTTTATTTTTTCATATATCATCAACAATTATGTCAGTAAAATATTCAGCTTTCCCTTTAGTTTTCAGCTTCGTAACGGCAAAAACACTACCAGCATCAGGTTGTTCTCTTCTCTCTTGTTCACTGAGCAATATTCTTGACGTAGTCACAAATAAAATGTCCAATTTTGGACCACCCCACGTAACCGATGTTACATCTCTTGCAGGAAGCGCCACCCTCTAAAAATAATTTAATTATTTTTTGCAATAAACAAAAACGAGTGTCTCACCTGTAAAACCTTTCCAGTTTGCGGTGATACTTGTATAATAGAACCACCCCCATATAAGGCAACCCATAAATTATCATTTTCATCTATAGTCATACCATCACAAATACCAATAAGCTCTGGATGCTTGGCCAAATCGAATACCACTTTTCGGTTCGATATTGAGCCTGTGCTTGGTTCAAAATCGTAACTAACAATCTGAGTAATTCCAGAATCGACGTAGAAAAATGTATCGTTTTTCTTGTTCCAAGCTAATCCATTACTAATATGAACACGCGGTATGTGGACTTCGGGATTGTTCAATGTAAATTTGGTGAACGAATACAAGTGGCCTTGGTATGGTCGTACTTCACCTGTAGCTACATTTTGTTGACCCATAGTACCAACCCACAAACGTCCAGTTGCATCAGATTTGCCATCGTTGAATCCGCTGTTTGGATAATCAGCGGAAACTGTTGATATTACCTATAAGGAATTGTTTTTAGTTGAAATAATTATAATGTTTGTGTGTAATTCAATACTTTTGTATTTATATGCTGTTTGGTATCTTCGTGAGAATATGTACCATCCCATTCAACAACTACCAGCGATCGATTTTGTCCCACAACCAATAAATTGTCGTTGTTTTTTACAGGAATTACCGGGTTTAGGTTACCTCCAATGTATATAGAATGTACGGTTTTTGTAGGATAATGGTAGCTGTATATTCGGCCTTCGTGGACGTCTGTGTAAAATAGCATCTGTTTTCTGTAGTCCCATGTTGGTACTTCGGCGTGTTCGACTGGGGGTGTTATTTTTTGAATTAGTGGTTGTGTACTAAAAAAAAACAAAAAAAAAAAATTGAAAGCCAACGGAATTCTTTATTATACATCCAAATCTTATCTAATGTTGTTTTGTAATAAAAATAAGGTTGATTTCCTAAAAGATTATATTAATATCAAACTAAACGATGTGAGATTGATTACCAGTTGTTAATTCTGCTAGAAATTTGTGGTTGATTCTAGATAGTGAATTACGGTTTAAAGAACATTTGAAAAAAATATTTTAAAGGTCATATACAACTTAAAAATTTTATACAATAACGGACATATATTAAATCTTACACTTAGAAAATTGCTTTGTGAATCTCTTATACTTTCCAACTTTAATTACTATGGTATATGGTCCTTGCCTGGATTTTGAGAGGTAATCTCGTATACAGGGTGTGCAGAACACCTGATGTGCGCGTTTCATCGTTGAGCTTAGAAAATTTGATCATATTATATCTGATACGTTTGCTGAATTAAACTGGCTTCGAATGGATTCTCGCAGAGCTGGGCAAAGCCCTCAGTAAAAGGGCTTGAAGCACTAAGCCCTAAGCCCTCTATCAAAGTGCTTCAATTTCAAGCACAAATTCCTTTTTATTTTCAAAAGTGCTTCACAAGCACAAAGCCCTCAAAGTGCTTTGGGCTTGACAAGCACAAAGCCCTCAACGTGATTTGAAAAGTGCTTGAAGCACATCAAAAGAGCTTGGGGTGCCTTGAAAAGGGCTTCAAGCTCTTTAACTGTGCTTCAAGCTCTTTAAATGTGCTTCAAGCTCTTTAAATGTGCTTGAAGCTCTTTAAATGTGCCTAAAGCACTTTGAATTTGTAATAAAATTCTCAAAGTGGCATAAGTTACCGCGTACACTCATCACACAGAATTGGTATAGTAAAGACGAACTTCACATTCCACAACGTAGCAGTAGTATGTTTTTTTTTGAGATGTAGTTCTGGGGTACTTGGGGTAGTTGGGGTACTACATGGTAATTCAATTTTAAGGTTTTCAAAATGTTCAATGGGGAAAAGTGAAAAAAATCCAGTGATAAAGTTAAATAGGGTACCTATAAATTATTTATTTATTTGAATAATAAGTTCATTCATTTTTTTTTTTTTTAATTCCATTCTAAGCTCAAAACCTTCATTGTTAAGAGAGAAAAGACATAAGACGGTTCAAGTTCAAATAATAGAAAAAAAAATTAAGGGACAAAACACGATCGAAAATGTTTAAGTGGGGGATAGGTTGAATGATGGTCAATTCAAATTCCTTTCAAAGTGCTTCAAGTCCTTTTAAAGTGCTTCAAGCCCTTTTAAAGTGCTTCAAGCCCTTTTAAAGTGCTTCAAGCCCTTTCAAAGTGCTTCAAGCTCCCAAAAGTGCTTCAAGCCCTCTTAAAGTGCTTCAAGCCCTTTCAAAGTGCTTCAAGCTCCCAAAAGTGCTTCAAGCCCTCTAAAAGTAATTGAAGCTCATTGAAAGGGCTTGAATTACTTTTTTAAATTACAAATTACCAAGCACTTTTCTAAAGTAATTGACTTTGCAAGCCCCAATTACAAATCTATAAAAGGGCTTGAAGCACAGGGCTTTCAAGTCCTCAAAGTGCTTCAAGCACTTTCGCAAGCACAAAGCACTCAAGCCCTGCCCAGCTCTGGATTCTCGTAGGCTTCTGCACTTTTGACTGCCCTGTTTCAGAGGTCATTTACTTATAACCGTTGATTGTTTGTTAGTTACTTTGCATAAAACTATTATTATAAATTGTACTTCTTGCTTTCGCATGGTTCAGTGGAATAGCTATAAGCTAACTGCGCCATTCGTTAGCATGCTTGATTTATTATCTTTCTTAACATTCTTGTAAAATGTATTTTTCTGTTTTTAGTAATATAAAGGCGATTATCATTATTATTATTATTACTATTATTATTATTATTCTTCTGGGCAATCTCCATTCTCAAGATGGAGTGAGTGGAAAAATTCCGGAAAGCCCATGCCTTTTTGAATAGAGAAATAAAGTGGTAATAGGGTAAGTAAACACCAAGGTAAACAATTACAAAATATTTTTTTTTTTTCTACCATGCGTACGTAAGTATAAAGGACTCACTTTATGGTTTACGCACTATTCAAAAGACGTAAAATTTCACTTCACGCGCTAGTGCGTAAAGTACAATTCACTTTACACACTAGTGCGTGAAGTAATTTCAATGACAGATGTCGACATTGTCAATTTAGTATTTTTCTAGTTTCTGTGTGCATAAAGTGGTAAGCAATATGTGCGTAAAGCACCTTTTTTCAGTCATGTGATTGTCAAAACATCCGTGTGAAGGTTCACTTTACACACTTGTTGCATAAATAGCTATTTTGAAGGCTAAAAATTGACGTTTTTGGGCATGGCACCCAAAAATGGCAGGGGGGGGGGGGGGTTAATCTACTCAGTCACTGTAATCTAATCTTGCACCGATCCCCCTGATGTCAAGTTACGCTACTGTCCCGCAGAGGTCCACCCATAAGTTCCGCAACAATTCACTCATTTGTACTTGAATAATTTATCACATTATGTTACTAGTTTAGTAAAGTAATATTACTAATTCCTGTTGAAAGGCAAATTGACAAAAAGTGAATAATCATAATCTTAAAAATTTTGACTTTATATAATAAGTTATTGTTCAAGTACAAATAAGTGGATTATTGCGAAACTTATGGGTGGACCTCTGCGGGACGAGCGCAGCGAGTTCCGCAGCCATCTACTCACCAAAATACTGTTGAACTGTTCAAGTAAGGCAACTCACATTTGAGTGAGTTAGGTTAGTATCGTAATTAAACAATATATTGATGATAGATGGCTGCGGAACTCGCTGCGCTCGTCCTGCAGAGGTCCACCCATAAGTTCCGCAACAATCCACTCCTTTGTACTTGAATAACTTGTCACATTATATTACTAGTTTGGTAAAGTAACATTACTAACTCTTGATGAAAGGCAAATTGACAAAAAGTGAATAATCTTACAAATTCTGACTATATAATAAGTTATTGTTCAAGTACAAATAAATGGATTATTGCGGAACTTATGGGTAGACCTAGTCATCTATTTAGCAATATACTGTTGAACTATTGAAATAAGACACTCACCTGAAACGTGTAGCTTTTGAACTAATGAGAATAACTGACATTTGAGTGAGTTTGGTTAGTATCGTACTTGAATAACATATTGGTGAATAGATGGCTGCGGAACTCGCTGCGCTCGTCCCGCAGAGGTCCACCCATAAGTTCCGCAATAATCCACCCGTTTCTACTTGAGTAACTTGTCACAATATATTACTAGTTTGGTAAAGTATCTAACATTACTAATTCCTGTTAAAAGGCAAATTGACAAAAAGTGGATAATCTTACAAACTCTGACTTTATATAATAAGTTATTGTTCAAGTAATCCATGGTCAGAAACAAACATTGAATGTCAGAAATGTGAAATGTTGCATGCTTTCAGCTTTTTTCAAATGGAATGCGCTATATTTGGAGTTCTATATTCTTGAAGAGCACAATTTCTCGATTCTAAAACTATATAGTTTGTTTATATTTGATTGAGCCGCCTCCAACATATTTGGTTCTAAAAATTTTAAAAATACCATCAGAGAAACCAAGTACCTACCTCAAATTTTACCTGCAGCTTTTACCTATACAGGTAGAATGGCTCACAAAATCAGTAGTAGGATAGTATTTTTACAATTTTTGAAGCCGAATATATGAGAGACTGTTCAATCAAATATAGACAAACTATATATTTTTGGAATCGGAACATTGCGCTCTTCAAGAATATAGAATAAAATATGGGGCATCCTATTTGAAAAAAGCTGGTAGCATGCAAAATTTCACATTTCTGTTTCTGACCATGGTTTCTAAAAATTCAGTCAAAACTGTACAACTTTTGTATCTACACCTTTCTTCTACCTGCAAAGGTAAAGGGTGTCAATATATAAAAAAACACCCTGTACATAGGATTGAATTTATACTAACATGGAAAGGTTGAGGGGATAGTCAGAAACAGGAAAATACCAGTGGCGTACACTCGATCGACCTACGAATGGGGAATCATATGAAAATATACAAAACCGTATGATTATTCAAAAACTGTACATTGAAAATGGGATTAATATACCCCTTAGAAAAATTTCAATTTTGATTTTTCTAGATTTTTCAATTTTTGACTTCACCAATCGTAAGAGGGAATCAAATATAGTAGAAACACGATTTTTCTTTTTGAGGTTTTAGAGCCTGTAAAAAATTAAAAATGATTTTTGTCCTAAAAAACTTCAATCATCCGACATTGTTTAACAAAATCGGTCATGACTCAATTAATATTTTACAAATTCCACTGCATATTTATGTATTCTCAATCAGAACTAAATGCTTTTTAAGATAAAATAAAATTGAATCATTTATCTCAAATAGTTTTCAAGATATTAAGCCACAAAGTTGAAAATTTATCTCAAATTTTGTCGATTATCTCAAAAATGAAGCCCTCTAGGGCTTGGTGCCCCAAATAACCTTTCTTTGAAACCCCAATCGAAATGTTTCGATTAATATTAGACGAAATTTCGTACTGATAGCTTGTAAATTTTACATAGATATTATTAGTATTCACGTTAATATGATAATAAAAACCTACGTAAATGTTATCTAATATAAACGAGAATAATAGTTATTATCGCATAAATGTTATGTGCATCACTTAATTTAATAGCAAGCAATTTTTCTTAAGGTTGAGTTGATATTCAAGATTTTCACCTGGGTTTTGTAATTATTTTTGTATGAATAATTTCTCTTTTTGCTCCAGAAAAGTCTGAGAAAGATTGAAAATTGGGAAGAAAACTATAAATAAAAAGCATAAAGACTTTCCACAGAGAAACTTTAAGAAATTGGAAGTTCAAATAGGTACAGAAAGACTTCAAGGAACTTTTACATACCTTTGAATGCCTGCGAGGATTTCTTTACAAGAACTTTCATACAATTGGAACTTTTAACACAGATTCTGAGAATCTTTATTAGGAGAACATCAAGGACAACATCTGTGGAGAACATCAAAGACCGGAAAAGTTTGAGAATTTAAAAGAGGGCACTTTCCAAAATTCACCGGTTTCTGAACCGGTGCGACACCGGTCTATTAGTTTACTCACCAAACCGTTACAAAATGTACCGACTTTTTACCGGTTGAACCAGATCGTCCGTTCCAAAATTGACCGGAATGATCAGCTGTTTGAAACCGGTGAGGCACCGGATCCACCGGGAATTTTTGTCGGTTTTTTCGGTTGGAGATTTTCTGACACTTTTTTCTGACGTATGTCAATTGCTTTGAACGGGCACTATCGGTCGTTCGTTAAATTAATGTAACATAACTGTCACAAGCACACTCTGTAACACACCAAAGTGTTCCAAAATGCATCAGAAAAATCTTGTAACCGGACTTTCACCTAATTTTTACCGGAATTTTTTGACAGCTACCGGTTTATTTAACCGGTCAATTTATCGGTGAAATTTGGAAAGTGCCCAGATTGATTGAAAAACATAACCTTTTAAAGACGTTGAAAGATCAAAAGGATTTTTGACAGAAGTTTGAAGAAAAAAAAGCAAAATATCACATATTTACATAAACTTTGAGTTCACTATTGCTAAAAAATAAGCCACATTCACATTACACAAAGCATGATTTTAAGAAACTTACTCAGCATCAGAATCAATTAATCTTTTACAACTATGTAACATGTTTACCAGTTTATTATTTGATTATTTTTTCTACTTATTTTGTTGCTTGTCACTGGGTTTTATAAGCACAATTATCCAGATAAGAGCCTTACATAAGCATCTATTAGGTAGATAAAAATTCTAATTACCTACTTCAAATGATATAGTTTTTATTAGTTAGAAATGTGCTAATTGCATTTGTATATTCTTGCAATAAAAATAGTATATTACAATCTGTTAAAAATAATGTTATTAGATATTGTTCTGTAAACATAATGAAAAATGAATCAATCAAATTCATAAAATATAAATCAAATAGGTACCTCTGGTTAGGTATGGTATAGTGACCAGGTATCGGTAGTTATTTACAAAAGAACATTTGAATATTTAAAAAAATATATATTTGCAAGCTTCCAAGAAAGAAAGGGAACCAAAATTGGATTAAAGGCAAACCGTAAGATAAATAACTTATTAAAACATGATCTATTTGATTTATTTTTTAGGAATTTGAGTGATTCTGTGATTACCTACCATAAATAGAAGAATTGAAATAAAGGAATTCAGAACACTTCAAGTAGTTTATTACCATTTAAAAATATCAATTTTTATTTGTTCCCTACACAATCCGAGACGGGAAATGCTTCATTACTGGTCGAGAGGTTTTATAGTTTATCGAGACGCGTAGCGTCGAGATAAACTGAACCTCGAGACAGCAATGAAGTTTCCCGTCGAGGGTTGTATACTATTTTATTTTTAACCATAATTTCTTGAAAAAAAAAATTCGGGGCAACCAAATGAGGTCGGCAAATGAAGAGGAAAATGAGAACGGGAAATATTTCCCTGCTCTATTTTCCGTCCGTGGACGGGAAATGAGGACGGAAAAAATTTCCCGTCCTCACTTCCCGTCCTGGGACAGGTAATGGAGCAGGAAAATGAAAAGACAGAAATGTGACATTTTCAAATTTTTGAAAAGTCAGTAATGACAACATTTCATATATGGTTAAAAATAATAGTATGTATACTATTTTATTTACAATCATTCGAATTTTGAAATTTTTATTTGAATCAAAACTAAAAAATACAATAATTGACAATTTCATTTACTTTCGGCCCACGGGTCGAAAGTTTACTTTCGACCCGTGGGCCGAAAGTAAAAGTCAAAGAATACAATAAATTTTAAAAATTTCATTTACTTTCGGCCCACGGGTCGAAAGTAAACTTTCGACCCGTGGGCCGAAAGTATAAGTCAAAAAAGTGACATTTTCGAACTTTTTAAAAGTCAGTAAAGTCAACATTACATGTATGATTGTAAATAAAATCATTTTCAAGCACGAGGCAAGTAAATACCGCAAAAATATGTAAAATTACACACAATACATTCTAAGTATACATAATTAGAAATTCTTACTAATCAGGAGGACATAGACTAGGCAATAAGGCACACAATATCAACATAAGTTCATTGATAAGTTCTGGCAGGTCTTCCATATCAGTTTATTAGTTTACGTGAACAACTGAAAAATACCCTAATAAAAATTGCACCAATTGAATTTTCAATTAAATGATAAGAAAATAATAAAACGAAAAATATTATTGATTTTTTTTTTATTATGCATGATTTATTCCTGGGTGGCCACATACGATTTTTTTGTTAATCTGGGCAAAATAAATTCGTGAGGTTTCTAGCCGTTTTCTACCAACCATACTGAACCAGAATGTGGTCACTTGGGTCTGGATTAAACCCAAACGGCTCAAAATACCCTAAATTCAGATTAGGAATCGTTTTATGAGACTTGACATTTACATTTGAAATCATTTATGTACCAGCATTGGTTTTATGTTAAGTTTATGTGACCTAAAGGTTTAGGTATATTATGTAAAGTTTACCTATAATATTCTCAATACAAATTAGTTTTCCATACAGTGTTATATATTATATAGAATTCACACTTACTTTGTAAAGGCAATTAGGCCCACCAAAACACTAAGAAATTTAAACATTTTCGAAAAAAATACTTATGCTATATTTTCAGATTTCTTCAAACATATATATATGTTCAAATTAATGTCCTTCAGGATTTTTATCGTTATCATTATAAGTTTTTTCAATTATTTAGACGCATAATAATAGTAATTTTTGTAAACAACTTTTTTCTTAGAGTGGGTCACGGATAGGATATTTTTTTTTTGAATAGGAAAATAACACTTCAAAACGTGTTTTCTAGTTTCAAAAATATTATTGTAGGTACTTCCTATCTATTAATTTGTTGAATAATAAACCTCATTATATGAAAGATGAATATTGAACAACCCACTAAACACATCTGTGACATTAACGTAAAGTTTATATAAATTTGATTATTTACCAGTATCATATCAAGTTTATGTAAACTACAGGTTTGTATTCTGTAATCTTTAAACCCAACATGTTTCAATTATTGTGGCAAAATAGGGCATGTTTCGAAAATATGCAGAAGTACACTACAAAAGTGTTAATTCCTGTATGCCAAAATTGTGGGAGAAAGGCACACATAGCAACAATGTGTAGAGGCCAACCGGAACAGTCCTGTATGCTACAACTGTGGAACACAAGGACATTTGGCGACCACCTGTAGGAACCAACGGCAACACCCAAACGGCAAGGGATGGCAAAACTAGATGCCCCAACCATCCTAACCTTAGAGGAAGAAAGTAAAATAGGAATTCATCACATCACAATTAAAATTAATGAAATAATGATGCAGGCAATAATTGACACAGGAGCCAAGGATAATGTACCTATTACACAGGGATATAATACAGGGAGAAATATCAGAAAATAATGACACGGTCCTAGTTACTGCAGGCGGACATAACATAAAAGTTTTAGAAGACACTAAAATCCCAAAAAGAATACCAGGAAGTCCAATGCGGAGTGGGACACTGAGTGCCAAAGTTATTTCATCTCTAACACAACCTATCATCTTAGGAATGGATTTTTAATTAAAAAAATAAGGCAATTATAGATCTTTCATGCAAAGAACTAATTTCAAATGGAAAACACAGAATACCCTTAAGGCACACAAACAACGAAAAAAGACTTATGACGGGCCTGGATGGGAAAACCAGATTTTGCGTAGATTACAGGAAAATGAACAGTGTGACAAAAAAATCAACTTATTTACTGCCGCAGATCGACGACATCTTGTCATACCTATGCAACGCAAAGTGGTTCAGCACCCTCGATATGTTTTCTGGATATTGGCAAGTTCCAGTAAAGGAAAGTTCAAAGCAATATACAGCGTTTGTGGCACAAGGGCATGGAACCTACGAGTTTAACGTTCTAAGTTTTGGGTTGTGCAATGCCCCAGCAACCTTCCAAGAATTTGCGGATCAGGTCTTCTGGGACATGAAATAGAAAGAAGTGCTAATTTACTTGGATGACATCATCATATTTTCCCAAACTTTCAAAGAACACTTACAAAAGCTAAGAAAAGTTTTTGAACGAATAAGAGAAGCGCTTAAATCAAGAAAATGCGAATATTTAAAACAGAAAATCAAGCTTTAATGTAAATGAGCAAGGAATTTTACCGGATAAAGAAAAAATAGTTGGCATCAGAAAATTTCCCACACCAAAGAAAGTTAAAGATGTACAAAGCTTTCTTGGACTGTGCAACTTTTATAGAAAGTTTATTTACAATTTCGCATCAATAGCCAGACCATTGCACGAAGTAACTAAGAAAGGCATATACTTCAAATGGGGTACAAAACAAGAAGGAGCATTCAACACTCTCAAAGAAAAGCTTGTCTCTGTACCAATCCAAACAAAGATACTTTCCTACATATTAACGCAGCAACCTATGGAATAAGGGCAGTTCTTTTATAACAGGATAACAATAAGGAAGAAGCACATCCAATAGCCTATACATATATATAAGGATGGGAGTGTTTATATCCCGAGAGAGGAGAAGGCCTCCCTACAATCATCCCTATACTTCAGGCCAGCCATGGTTCTAACAACTTTCCTCTGTAATGCAAACAATCTATGAACCTCAGAGGAGTGTCCCCATGCCAGCACTGCATAGCTCAAATCTGGCTGAAAAACACCAAAGTAAGCCATCTTCAAAATAGATGGTGAAACACAGGTTGAGAGGTTTCTGACCATGTAAAGGGCGCCTGCCAACTTTTTGGCCACACTGGCAGTGTGCTCACCCCATTGTAGCTTTTGGTCTAAAGTTACCCCAGAAACTTGACCGCCGCCACCTGCTTCTTACATCGACTCAGAGAAAATGACTCTCCTTGTCTTATCCTTATTCAGCAGAAGCCTGTTTGATCCAAACCACAATCCAGCCCGATCTTGCGCGAATTGCGCGACCACAGATCTTGCGTGCGCGCTCTCCAAGCGTCAGCCAGGGGGATCGACGTTTCATCGGAAAAAAGCAGTGGTAGTACTTGCTGGTAAGTCATTGACATAAATTAGAAACAAGATGGGACCCAATATAGAGTCTTCTAAAACCCCTATGTTAACCTTTCCTTCTGACGACGTCACACCATCATATCTCACACTTTGACACCTGTCGCTGAGAGAAGATCTCAAAAGTTGGACTCTAATGTTGTCCAAATAGTACGATTTGAGTTTATCTAGCAAGATATTATTGTCAACACAGTCAAAGGCTCACAAAAAACAACCGCGCTGTATTGATTATTGGGAAGCCTCTATAATTTGCGATGTTAGATCCAGTATTGCCATGACTGTGCTCTTAGCCTGTCGGAAACCGAACTGCTGGCCAGAAAATAGTCCCTTGCTTTCGAAACAAGACACCAGTCGTAGAGCCATACATTTTTCAAAAATCTTTGAAATGATGGGAAGTAGAGATATGGACCTGAAGTTTCCCAGGCGAATCTGAGTTTCCGTATTTAAAGATAGGGATAACTACCGCTCTCTTTAAGATTCTTGGGAATATAGCATTTTTTATACAAAGATTTATTAATTTGGTAAGGGGTGAGACATATGATTTATGGACTTTATCAATTTTGTATTGAATCCAAAGAAATCCCGGCTTTTTTTGTCTTTTAAGCTATT